AGGGAAAGTGACTCTCCATGATATCAGCTTTATAAAAGATACTTTCCGTGAAATGGTATTACTCCCTTCACAGATTGAGGTCACAACAGCAACATGTAGTTCTATCGATGTTGTTGTCCCTTGGACTCATTTATACTCCAAGCCCATCATTTTACGACTTGGAGAAGTCTTTGTTGAGGCTCACGACTTGACTGAACCAAGGAAAGAAGACAAAAAGAAGCCAAAAAAGCCAAAGAAGAAGACTTCAAGAGAATTACTTGATACTATTTTGGTCGAGCTCACAGTGTTCAAGTTAAAACTCAAACTTGGACCAACGGAATTGCTTCTTGTTATCAACGAAGGTGAAACGTATTTCGCAGACTCTGCATTCAATGTTTGTTTCCATTCATTTTACACTTGAAATTGCACGTGGAAATCAACCTTCACGTGTTTATTTTTACTATACTTTATATATATAAATATATAATATATACTATATACTATATAAATATATATAAATTTAATATATATGAAAGTTATAAATAATAATAAAATAACTATAAATGACGTTAAGAAAGTAAGTCAAATTCCAAAGGAAGTTCCCATTGAGAATGTGATCAGTTCCTACCGATTTTTGCAGGTCCACAGCTTAGATTTAGAGCTTACGACGGGCGAACGGAAAGTCATTCTTTGTCATCATTTAGAAGTAGTTGGGAGATATACAACACAACGAGAAGCAGATACATATAAACTGTTAGACACATTATGTGTTGTTGAGTTGTCGAAGATATCACTCAACCTGTTAATGGACGACTATATTAACATGATTTCATACTTCAAATCCCTCTTTGCCATTGCCACGGAAAGTGCGATATTGGACGTAGTGAACTCGGAAAAGGATGGGAGTGCTGCACCGACTACCCCACACTCTGAGATGATATCGGGAATGAACTCGGATGTGAGTTCGGAGTCCCATACCCCTACACTCGAACATAGCTCTGACGTCGAATTCACGAAGTCGACGCCAATGTCTCCGATGCCAACTCTTTCACGTAAAATAACAACTAAAGAGACTGGGGAGAAGTCAAAGACGGGCTCAAGCTTGCGCGTTGAATTGGTTGGCGATAAGAATGGCAAAGTGCCAGTTCTCTGTTCGAACACTAAGTCGGACTCTTTCAGTCCAAAAGACGAGAAAAAGGCGTTGAAACAGAAAGAAAAGGAGTTGAAGAAAGAGGAGAAGAAGTTGTGCAAATTAGAGAAGAAAGGCGAACCAAAGACGACGTTTGTGATAGTTTTGACGTTCCTGAAGATGTCCCTTCAAAATGAAACGACTGATGAAGGCCTCTGTTGGCTTGTAGAGAACACGGAGATCAAATTTGTCCCTGCATATGGAGGAAGAATCAAGAGAGGGATCTATGGGTTCTCTATTGGCAGTGTTGAAGGGTTGTACATGTCAAAAGGTGATGTGAAGCGACTGATATGGGGGTTAGACAGTGAGTCTTGTCATGTTGAGAAAACGAAGAATAAGAAGGAAGTTGTGAATTGTGAGTTAACGACGACATGGGAACGGAATGTCCTTGTCCACACGCGAATAGGATGTTTACTGAATAAATTAGGGTTGACGATGGAATTTGAAATGTTCAAGAAGTTGTTGAATTTCTTAAAGTGACGGTGATTGACAAACTTGGGTCCTTTGATATGGATGTTGGGAACATGAAGGAGCGGATCGAAGAGACCATTAAAACGGCGAAGTCGAAATGGAATGAGGCATTAGAGATCTTAGGGTTAAGTTCATTGCTAGACTTATTGAAACGTGGGGATGTTGATATTGAGTTGAATGGGTGTCGATTTGAAGGACCGTTTCCGAATAATGGCGGGACTTTTGTTGCTGAAATAGATGACATTTCAATGAGCAACCAGCCGAAGTGGAATGACTTAGATGTTGAAGTTAGTGTTTCCAAACGGATGAAACACATGATCTATGTGAAAGATATCATCAATCCAAATACAATAAAATTAGAAATGAAGGTTGGTGGGATGTCTGTGATAATGGAGAAGGATGGGAAGGAAGAGTACTTGTATCCCCCAAGTAGTGGAGTCCTTCAGTTCTTAATGAAATTTGATGAACGAGAGAATGTGCCATCTGTGTTACTCTTTCGACTGAAATTCCCACAATTGAAGTTTGAGATGACGCACAGTCGCTTTAGAAATGTGTACGGGTACTTCCGAGAAATTATTGAATATGTGAAGACAAAGATTGGAGGAGAAGTAGTTCAATTTGGGTCAAAGGTGAAAGAGAAAGCAAAGGAGAAGGCGGACGATATTGCGGAGTCGGCAATGGCATTCATCGACACGTCAGTCATCCCAACGTTCCGGTCGGAGGACTTACCCACATTTATTGTCCAAATAATATTGGATGATGGTGTAGTGACCGTCCCCGTCACGTCGATCCTCCAACGAGTTGAAAAAGGCGGAGATGACAAACTCTTTTCACGGATGGTAGTCCATGACTTCCAACTGTGTTTTGCGCTGGATAAGCAATATCGAAGTGTTGGCATGTTTCTTGGGAGTGTCATCACTGACCGACTTGAGCCGGTGTTGGCCCCATTTAACGGGATATCACCGAAGATCCAAAATGAGAAGGTTGAGGTCAAAGACAAGCCGGCTGTGTCGTTTGTGTGGCAATACGACAAGACGAAACCGAAGACGGAACGTGTCATGTCGATCAATTTAACACTCTTTAATGTGCAAGTGAAGTTGACTGATCTGTTTGGATTGGACGTGAAGAATCCGAACTCGCCACGCTACAGTCCAGGGTTATTAAGTCCAGGGTTAGGCGAGAAGGGAGATACAAAAGTGGACAAAGAGAAAGACGAGACCGTTGAGAAAACGGTGAAATTGATTAAGACGGTCTCTGAGAGAAAGAAAGAGGAGAAGAGCGATAAGACTAAAAAGTTGTTGAGTTGGGTAGAAACGAAGTATAAAGGGATGGAAGTCATGGTGAACGTCTCAGAGTGCGATTTGGTTGCGGAAGACCATTTACATAAAATCACGATGTCGACGACGTCGATCTTTGCGAAGCAAGCGGAAGACACGGTAGACACACTGATCGACCAACTGAATAAATCGAAAGTGGCGAATGAAGACTTGAAGAACAAAAATAAGGCACTGGAAGAAGAACTTGCTGCGACGAAAGCGGCATTGGAAGCGTCTCAGATGAGAAAAAGAGGGTTCAGCTTTGGAAGGAAGAACTAAGCGAAGACTTTTTGTTAGCATTGAGTTGTCGAGGAATCAATAACAGTCAATTACATAGCAAGGGAAAGTGTTTCGGGGAAGAGAATGGGCTGAAACATTTTGGGGAAGGTGGGGGTAGTCGAGACGTCTATGCCTGTTTCTTCGGACATTTTAGTTAAGACCAAATCAGTACTACTTGTGAGTGTTTGATATTGTTTGCTATCGATTTAGAAAGGAATGAACAAACAGAGGAGGATCGAATTTGTGAAGAGCACGAATGATATTGTCTTCCGTCAATATGTGACGGTCAATTGCAGAAGAAATGTTGGTGAAGGAAGTAAAGTCTGGAGCATGAAGTAACATTAACATACTTAACTCGGATATTCGCTTGAAATAAGAGTCGGAAGACTTGCCAAATTTGGATAATATCCACTCCCGATATGCATCATTTTTCATTTTGAGAGATAAACCCCGCTGGATGTTAAATTTATCACTGTCTCGCATTATCATAGTAAATAAAAATCGGTCGATCGTGTCGGTGTATTGTTGGACGACATAATCAATCACATCTTGTGTCACAGCGTATTTGAGAAGTTGTTTTACACAGACATAGAACGTGTTGTAACACTCCACATGACTATTAATAAATATATAATAAATATATAATAAATATCAAACTATAATATATTATAATATATTATAAATAATAAATAATATTATAAATAATTATTAGAAACAAACATATTGTCTTTCTCTTGAACATATCGAATTAACACAGAAACATCCCCAACACATAATTGAAGAAAATTGAATAGTGCTTCGTTTAAAACACCACAAAAACTTTCCCTTAACTCTTTGACTTTAATTTCAGTCGTTTCCAATTTTGGATTAAGTAAATTCGTTTTGTGTATTAAAGCACAAAGTGTTGCTATCCAAAATGCTAAAACGTCACTTTGTTGCGAAGCAAGTTTCACCACCCCAGAAAGTGTCTTTGAAAGGACTTTGAAGAAGCCACACTCGTCATTGAATAAATTCTTTTCATTAATTCTCGAGGCAATATTGAGTGCAGCCAATGTGTAAGTACCATTAAATTCGTAAGTAGTATTAATAATATTGTCAATGATAAAATTGACTGTTTCGAGTGGGTTATTCATCGAGTCTCCCTTCATATTCTCAATTTTTGTTTCAAGTTGTTTGATTTCTATTTCTGCGTTCTCAAGCTTCGATTTAATACTGTCACGCTCCGCTATGAGTTTTTCGCACTTGTCCTTCATTGCATCGGACTCCTTTTCGCGCATTTTGCATGGAGTCGAGTTGGTGGACAGAGATACATTTATCGGAGTACGCTTACGAGGAGATTGCTTGGAAGACCCCGAATCACTTTCCGATATAGTAGAGCTTCGCATTGGACTAATTAGTAAGTCTTGTTGGTAGAAGTCGACTTTAAAATGAAGTAAATAACTCTTCTTATAAAATGGAAGTTTTTCTTGAGAACTTTTAGTGTCCAAGTATGTTGTTAAATCGACGTCTAGACACCCCTTTTCCTTTTCCCCCCTTTCAGTGATAACTATTAAGTCCAGTTTAAGATACTTCTTTGGCTTCAATTGCCCACTCTTTTCACGTTCAATCACTAAGTCAAACATGATAACCGAATCAAAAGAAGCGATTCCTTTTGATACAACAACTCGTTTTAATTGCCCAGAATACTTCGAAGAGCCACGTTTCCATTTTAAATACACCACTCGTTGCTCAAACTCCTCTAAATGAATAATATCACTGATGGTAACTTCAAAATGAAGGACTTCAGTAAGTTTGGGCTTCTGTGGAGTGCCAGTAAATATTGTTGGGGTTGGAAGGGAACTTGTCATCGAAGTTGAACGCAAGCGACTCATTAAAAAAATAAATTAAGTTTTTCTTGTTTTTTTTCATGTTTCAAACACTGTATTATCCAATCCAAAGTTGGACCATTTTTATTAAAGTTTTTTGACCTTTTGTTATAAACTAAACAATTCTCATGTTTTTAATACTACTCAAAGAGTTGTATCCCATTTTGGTATCATTTATGTATAATATATTTTACTATAATCAATTGTTCAGAATCATTATATTTTTTAGGTTTTTTATTCGAATGAATAAATTTAAATTTTTAATGAAATTAATTAGAAAATTCAAATGTTTTAAATAAGTACTCAGTTTTGTTTTTCTCAGTGGTTTTTTTATTAGCAGTTATATTGTTTTAATAATAATAATATAATATTCTTTTAAAAATGTTTTAAATTGTATTTTAGAGAGCACAGTAAAATAACTTTTTAATTTTTTTTCCTTAAAATTTATATAAAAAAATGTATTTTTGTTTTTTTTGAAGGTCTTTATTTATTTGTTTTTTTGAAATGAAACAAATAAATAGTTCTTTATTATAACATAAAATATAATTTTTAATGTTATTTGTCCAAAGAAAAAAAAATAATGTATTAAAGTTATAGTTTTTTAATAATATATTTTGTTAATTTGTATATAGTTTATTATAAATAATATATAATACAATTTATTAATTAAATAAAATTTAAATACCCCGATTATAAACGACAAATAAACGACAAAAAAACAACAAAAAAACAACAAAAAAACAACAAATTTAAGTTTTTTTATACCCCAAAAAAACCTTATGATGTGGGTTTTACATCAAACTATAAATTTTGGGTAGTTTGATATAAAATAGTTGATTAAAGGTCTCTTCAACTAATTATAAATAAGAATTATTTATTGTTTTAAATTATTAAACAATAAAAACTATAAATATAAATAATACAAATTAGTGATTTTAGTTTGATTAATTCATCTATAAAACTAAATTTTTTTTTTTATTAATACCTTTTTAGACTTTTTTGGTTTTTTAACTTTTTCAGATTATACAACTTGATTTTTAAATATTGGAAAATAATATTTATAGTTATTTGATAAGTTGAAATAATACAAAATGATGGGTGTACCAACTATTTACTTGTAAATAAAAGTTCACTATGTCAATTATTGATAATAAATCAATAAAAATATGATTTTTGTATAACCAGGTGTATAATTTGATATGAAAAAATATCTATTATTTTAATTATAGTTTGTAAAAAGTTGTAAGTATCTATTTCTATTTTTTAATATTTAAAATTTATTTCAAGTTTTTTATCTTTGAAATAAATAGTTTGTAATTAATAATAATAAATTAATTTGTATTATTTTATTATATTTTGAAACCACAACTTATAATATAATTTATCATTCCAACTAGAATATAGCTAACGACATGTTTTATTTATATCATTTGATAACATTTCTGGATACTTTATAAATAATCTATAAATATGTTTATTATTATTTTATAATTACAATAAAGAATACGATAAAACCGATCTGTTTTCCCAAAAGTGTGTCAATTCGTCACAAAAAAATCACAAGTGCAACAATATGAACAAAAACCGCTAAAAACAATTCCAAAAGTTCCATTTAATTCAATCACAATCTTGCCATTACCCATTATATTTCACGTGTTTTGGCCATTATAACTAAAACATCTTACACACCAAGATTTTATCAAAAACATATATCCCTGGGTTTAAAAAACATTGGACAGTTTTAAATCAATATCTTCTTGGATATAAAACAAAAGAAAATCTCAATAATTTCATATGTCGAAACTCATCAAACGCCTCTCTATGTCAAATTTCAAAAAGAGGGATCCATCGCCTTCTTCCAAACTATCAACTCATTCGGAGAATCAAAGTGAGAGCTCTTGTAGTAGTGAGACTCTAACAGATGTCTGGGTGAATTCTTGGTATGACGAAATAGTCGATGACGAGATATGTTGCATATTGTGTCATAGCCAACCCAAGACACGATTTGTAGAGGTGGGTAATAACACACACACGGTACTCAGAAGTGATTATTGCTTTGACTTCAAGTAATGGAGTTACAACTCCTCTTGTAAATTGTACATTCCTCGTTAAATAGTTTTATTCTTCTTATTTTCACAATTTTTCTGTAAGATTTTTTTAAACAAATTATATCTAATTGGTAATGTTTTAATCGTCTGTTGTTTTCTTTGCTTTCTTCTATTTTATTGGTTATAAAATGCTATTATTAATAATACAATCTTTTTAAATATGATATTTACTGTACTATATAACAAATAATTAATTACTTACTATTTTCTTTTATAACTAAAAAAAGAACTATATTATTATGATAAAACAATAATACAATATAGTTAATAAAAGATAACTCAATAATATCGAAAATACCAGAAAACCTCAAGTTAATTTGAGTTTTCGTTCATCGAAACCCATTGAAAATCAAAAAGATATTAAAACTATAAATTAAGACATTAACGAACAATGCAACGGCAACTAGATTTAGTCTTTGTGTGTGACACAACGGGGTCCATGGGAGCTTACCTTGAATCTGCCAAGCGAAATATCAAGAAAATAGTAATGAAAGTGCGTGACTCTGAAAAAATTGATTTCCGCTTTGCACTTGTCGAGTATAAAGACCACAACCCTGGCGATGAATTTGCATTCCGGTCGTATGGGTGGCGTGTCGACTTAAAAGATATGATAAAGGATGTTAATAAGATGCATGCGGATGGTGGAGGAGATGGACCGGAGTCAGTGGCGTGTGCTTTAAAGTGTGCGTCTGAGTTAGGGTATCGTACATATGCTGCGAAAGTTATTGTGTGGATAGCAGATGCGCCTCCCCATGGATTAGGAGGCGACAGTGATAATTTTGAAGATGGATGTCCATGTAAAGCGGACTTCCAAGAAGTTGTACTTGACTGTGTTAATAAGGACATTCAGATCTATTCAATTGCAGCGGAAATACTTGGGTTTAAATACTTAAGAAGCTTAATGCGAGCGACTTCTATGATCACTGGAGGGAATTTTATACCACTGGCGTCTGCTGATTCACTCGGAGATGTCGTCATAGCTGGCTCATTGGAAGAAGTTGGGATGACTCAAATGATTCAAGTCATCCAACGGCGGATAGAGTCAATGGAAGGATTTGAAACGTTCACACAAGAAAAGAAGGATGAGATCTTACGACAAGAACTCGCCGAAGCGACGCAAAAGACTACGTTCAAGCAAATCGAAGTCAAGTCGATCTATAAGGGCGACTTACCAAAAATCCCGGAGATCTTTTTCACAGCGAAAAACATGAAAGAGCTGAAAAAAGGATTAAAAAAAGTTAAAGAAAGCGAAGTGGAGCTCACTAAAGAGTTCCAAAACTTTGGAGGGGGAATGTACATGCCACCAACAATTAATATGGAAATGTGTACAGAGAAGTTCGTCGAGTACAAATCAGTACTCCCAGACGACGCTATGGAAGAAGAATACGCCAAAGAAAAACCAGTTGAAAAGGTTGTTGAAAAAGTTATTGAAAAGACTGAAGAAAAAGAAGTGAAAATGGAAATGGAAATACCTAAGGAAGAAACAAAAGAATTCAAAGATGGAGAAGTCGTCAGAATCACCGAAAAAGCACTCGACGACGAACACCAAAACAAAATCATCGACAGGTTGAGGAGAAAACTCATGAAAAAGTGACTTTGAGTATTCATATGTTTTTTTATGGTTTATAATAGTAATAATATAGTAAACAGTTTTATAACTATTACGAATAATTGATTATAATTAATAATGATAAGTTGAAAAGATAATATTAATAATATTTATTATATAATAAATAGACAATAAATTAATAGTATTAAATAGTATTAAATAGTATTAAATATACTATTAAATAAATATTTATTTTTATTAAAATAAATTAAAATAAATTATCAAAAATAATAACTCAATGAATTGCATCAAAAACCAATGAAAAGCGCGGACATGTCGTTGGGCTCTTCAAAGCAGAAAGAAGAAAGGTAAGTCACACTTTGTGGGATTGAAAAAGTTAAAATCTTTTTACAATTTGAAAATGCAAAATCACAAATTTCTGTGACATTTTTTGATAACAAAACTCTTTTTAACGCGATACAATTGTAGAAAGAGGCAATACCAATTGTGATTGACGCATTTTGTTGTTCAGCAAAAGTGAAAGATTCCAAATTTCTGCAATTGTAATAACAGAAATTTGGGACGGAAGCAATTGATGGCCAAATCACATTTTGAACTGCGCAACACGAAAAGCAGTGATGGCCAACAAAACGCAAGTTGTCTGGAAGAACAACACTTTTCAAACTGTAACAATATGAAAAACATCTATTTCCTAAATATGTCACATTTTGTGGAATTTCAATTGCGGACAACAAAACGCAATTTTCAAAGCAATTGTCAGGGAGTTTTGTTAACACTGAACCCATTGAAATTTGACGAAGAGATGAACAAAACGAAAAAGAAGACGCTCCAATTGATGTCAAATTGTGAAGTGGTGCAAAGTCAAGAGCTGTTAAATTACAGTGAGAAAAACAGTTATTTTCTATTTTGTGTAATTGCGTAGGAAATAAAAAAATTTGTAACTTTTCACACCCACAAAAAGCGTATTGTCCAATTTTAGTGATTGTGGACGGAATTTGGATTGAGGTGAGCATTTTATCATTTTCAAAAGTAAAAGCTTTAATTGATTTTATTTTTGTGCTCTTCTGAAAATCAAAAATGGAAAAATTGCACTGTGAAAAGCACTTTTGTCCAACACGTGTCAGTTCTTTTGGCACATTTATAACACTTAATTGAGCACAAGAATAAAATGCGTTTTGGCCAAGAATAAGATCACTTTGTCTGTTTTCCATAAAAATCACTTTGTGTAATTTTGCACAGCGGTAAAAACAATCATTTTTAATCTTTGAAACTGAACTTGGAATGACCATTTCTGTGATGTCAAAACAATTTGAAAAACAATAATTGGACAAACACAAAATAGCATTTGAAATTACAAAATGCGTATTTTGTATGACATTAATTCCATTCACTTTAATATCAGGATTATTACAATAAAATGATAAAAGCGTTTTGTTGTGCTGAAACACGACGTTTTCTTGAACAAAACGCACTTCCCTGTTATCTTCGAGTGTATAATCGATATCCACAAGTTGTAGTTTACATTTAGAAAACGCAAGCGAACCGATCGAAGTGAGTGTTATAGGGAATCTTACAGAAACTAAATTTGTGCAATTCGAAAAACAACTTTCCCCGAGTTTTTTGACACTTTTACCAAATTCAATATTATGAAGACTTTTACACTTATAAAAGGCACTCTCCCCGATCTCGCTAATGTTTTTAAAATCAATAAAATAAAGTGCGTCATTTCCTATAAAAGAATAATTTTCAATTTTTGTTACTTTTGGAGGGAAATGGATTTCCCTTAATTTTATACAATGTGAAAAGCACTGCTCTCCCATATAAACCACGCCATCGGGGATTTTTATACTGGAAAACATGCACCCACAAAAACACAAGTTTTGTATAGAAGTGATTGTCTGTGGTAAAGTGATGTTTGTGAGGTGATTACAATTCAAAAATGTCCCAAATGGAAGGTCTGTTATCAAATTTTCAAAAACAACATTCCGAACATTTGCTGTTGCAAACGACAGCTCAGCAACTCTTCGAATGTTCTTGGTGACGATAATCGTTGGCATCGCGTGACGACTAAAACAATATGGATTGAAGGATGACACTACTTTTGGAATTGCTGGCGGTTCTTCTGACAGACAGTCTTTATAAAAAAACCCGACGTCTCGACACTCGACACCATGAGACAAATAGAATTTGTATCCCCATACACTACATGTGAAATTCGCAAAATATCTTTGAATATTCCCGTCACGGAGTATCGGGTCTTTTATTGAGTACAAAAAGAGTGTTTCAATATGTGGGAAGAATTTGAGTGTTTCTCGAGTTAAAGGTATTGGGTTGAAATGAAACTTAACAGCGGTGTCTGAAAATTTCTTGCACACAAAAATGAGGGTGGCAAAGTCTTTAATATCTTTAAAATATTTTGAAACAATCATCATGTTATAGCCATCCAATTGACTCATTACAATTTTGATAAGTTTCTCATGTTTTTTGTATTTTATTATTGTTAATTATTATAATTATTATAATTATTTTAATTATTATAATTATATTAATTATTTTAATTATTTTGTAGTATTACAATATTTATTAATTTGGTTATAGTATTTTTACTATTTCATTTTGATTTTTAAAGTTATTAAAAAAAGTATTTAATTCTATTCTAATTTTTATTACAATAATAATATTTATTTATTATATATTTTAGTTCATTAATAATAAATTAAAACAAAACTATAATTATAGTAATTTTTACTTTAAATTAATAAGAAACTATAATGAAACCAACAAAACAAACCATTAAAATTTGATTACAAATTTATCATTTTGAGCAGTAAGCGACGGCATGTTTGAGAAGTGTGGAGGCCTTACCTACTGCCCTGAGCTCGTTCTTCAACTTTTTGACAGCCTTTTCTCTTTCGTCCTCTGCGTTTTGTGAGACGAAGCAAAATTGGACTAAAACGTTGTCACCGTCGTTCTTAAGAGTGACGTACCTGTCTTGTTCCTGGAACTGTGTGTTCTCGTCGATAGAAATTCTGTACGTCCCAAAGCCAAGTTGGTTAAGAACGATCATCCACATCTCCTTTTCGCGCGTTTGAACGAGGAAAAGTGGACCACGACAGTCCGGGTCATGTGTTTGCGCACTGATCTCATACACACTCACTACACCGCAGTTCATCGCTATGCTCTCGATGTGCGGATAAAACCCCTGAAGCGTTTGTAAGTTCAATGCCTGCACCTGTGCTGGTCCCATCGCTTGCTCGGGTTGTTTCTTGTCAGGTGTAGGCGTGCTCATGTCACTTTCTTTGTTTTTCAGTTGCACTTTTTTGTTATTCAAATAACATTTTTGATGTCTCTTTTTGGTATTCTTCTGAGTGAAATAGTCATACTAATAAATAAACAACACAACAAAAATGAATATATTTGTGGTATCAATTTCTGTGTATAATTTAACTGTATTCATTGTGAATAAGACATTTTTATCTCATAGATAAGTGCATGAGAGATATACATTCACAAATGCACTCTATTCTTTTTCTAAAAATAAAGCAAAATAAACTATATTTATAGTTTGAAAAACTATAAACTAAACTATAATTAGAACCATAAAACAAAAAGAAAATACACAGTATCTAACTCTCTTCACACCACTCAAATATCGAGCATGACGACGTCATCGTCTTCTATAGCCATTATTTCGTCCATTCCCTTTTCCTCCCTCTCGTTTTTGAAGACAAACAATTTACTAAAAGTGTCTGTTTTAAAATTGTCCTCGAACTTGTTGAAGTCGTCTTTATTTTTAATTAAAAATAACAGGGAGACTGAAGGGTCCAAATTTTTATATTTCATGCTTTTGACATCGTTACAGAAATAACTCTCGGCGCTCCACCCGCCGTCCATACTCACTGCATTTTGTGTTGTATGGGGGTCCAAATAATACAACAAATTTCCGTCAAAGGTGTGGAAGAAGAATGCCAAATTTGGTTTTCCCCCAACCATCCCGACGCACTGTGGTATATCAAAGACCTTTTTTAGTATTGGTCTAAAGTCCTCTTCAGCATTGACTGGACCAAGTCTTAAAGGGACAAAAATGATAGTAGGAAGTATATTGCCATTGTCTTCAGAAATGTCGAGGATGTCGGGTTTCACTATTCTTCCCAGTCGAGCGACATACCCCCGTGTTCTAAAGACGTGAATGGTATTCAAATGGTCTGCAGCTATTTCCGATGCAAAAGAAGGCCCCCACCACTTCCCATCACCAACGCCTCTTGTTGTAGACCGTGATATTAAGTTGTGAATCGAAAAGAGGGACCCTGGCCCGTCCCCAAACAAATTGATGATACACCGCAGATGAAATTTGTTGCGCTCGACTTGAAATCCAGTCTTCGTGAACTTCCAGGAATTGCCCATGACTAGTGAGACAAAGGATTGAGCCAAAGCCATTTGCATCGAACGGATCATACACCCCCACCCAGAGTCACTCGTCCGCCCTCCTGGCAACTCCTTCATATTTTTCCTATACGTCACCCATATAGTGTGTCGAGAATAAAGATTGATGTCCTCACGAAGTTCACGTGGGTGTTGTGCATCGGTATCAGTTTCAATCCCACCCAATTCAACCATCGTCAAAGTCCCAACTTCCATTCGTCTGTGATTTATTAGTTATTTCTAGTTCAGTTTAGTATTTCTTCGTATAGTTCTTTTTTACTAATAAAATTTACTATAAAAATTCCTCAATAGAAAAAGTAAAAAAAGACCACTCGAACTCGTAAATTTCAATGACTAAAGCTGTGTTTGGGAAACAGTTTGAAACACCTAAGATGGACTACTCACAACAATACAGTAAGATCTATTCGAGCCGTCTTACACTGTTACGCCCACTTCTGGAGGTCTTGATAGAGAAAAAGTACGAGGGGATGAGCGTCCAAACGCGTCTGACTAACATCCCCAGCGGAGAGACCTCCCTCATCGGTACCATTTTTAAAAAGTCCAAGAAACTCCCCACCGTCTTGGCACAACACAAGAAAGACCCAAAGCACATTAAAATTGACTTCACTCAACCACCTTTCCACGCAGACGACGACTCGGCCTATCTCGAAGACTTAATTGGTCACACAGATTTAGTTATGAAGCCCGAGGTACTTAATACAATTACAAGTGGGACTGTTTGTCTTCTTTATCAACACATATATCTTATTGTAAGTCTTTTATAATTGCTTTATATAGAGTTACATAATATTATTATACTATGATTATACTATGATTATACTATTACTAGAATATCTATATAATTCATATAATAACAAGGAGGTCATTGCAGTGATTGGTACGATCAATACAGAAGGCTTTTTTAATGTCACCGATGTCATTTTCCCATATGAAGAACCTATTGAAACGACAGTTATGAATTGTGACGCAACAAAGAACATTACTGTGATATCAGATATTAGGTTTAGTGCGTGCAAAACCGATTTAATGTTATACGATGTGTTAAAGAACAAAAAGATAGAGTTGGGGACGGATGTGTTTGTGATAGGGAACCATTACTTGGAGAGTATGGGAAGTCCACTGGTTGATGAATATGATGGGTTCTTGTCAGAAGTGTCCAAGGGGATTCCAGTCACTGTGATTCCGGAGGGAGACGACCCCACAAATGCTGTCTTGCCATTTCAACCATTCCATCGTGCGATGTTTGTGAAGTCGATGAAGAACAATACGGAGACTCAAAAGTCCTTTAATTTGGTTTCTAATCCATCGATTGTAACTCTTGGTGATATCACTATCATGTTCCTCTCACAAGAAGTCTTTGTGAGGGCAATGGATTTGACCATTTTGAAAACCCCACAAGACGTCTTCTGCTTCTTCTTGAAGGCAGGACATTTGTGCCCATTTGCGCCTTCTATGTTTCCATGTTACCCATACGAAAAAGACCCATTTGTACTCAATGAACCATTTCCAGACTTTTTCATTGTCGGAGGGTTCGAGGAGATGTGCTACAGTGTCAACTTCATGGGGAAAACTATCTGCTTAGTCACAGTACCAAGCTTTTATAAGGAAAAGAAATTTGTAGTGCTCAACACAGACAGCCACGAGAATGTGGTCGTCGACTTGAATTTTTGATTTTATTGAGTTTAGTTATTTACTATAAATACTAAACTATTGCAAATACGAGTGAATTTAATTCTTGTGGGATATAAATCGGGAAATCTCCAGTTTATTAAATAATTTCCCTGAAGTTTACAAGTTTATTATATGGAATATTTTACATATCCTAAAAAAGGGGAAAAAATTTTTAAATAATTGTTAAGAAAAAATAGTAATAAATAAATTAACAGTGTATAGTTAAATAAATTATTTTTAATAAAAAATCTTTTTTATTTTTGAATTATTCAAATAGTTTAGATTAATTATAATTTATTAAAAGTCTGTCTTAAAACAGACTGTTATTTAAAGTTGAGTGTCTCTAATGTATATATTACCAAAACAAGTCAATTAATAAACTATAACCCTCATAGTAAGTGTTGTGACCTTTATATTGACAAAAGTGACTCTTTTGTATCCAATTGAAATGATAAAATACACATTCAAGTGAATTATAATAAAAATGTGCACATAGAACAAGATACGAACACAGTTAATAAATAAATAATGAAGAAGAGATCATCTCGAAAATATTTCAAATGCACGGATGATGGAAAGAGCAAAGGCTTGGAGTGGAGTAAATGAAGAGTCAGTGTTGACATGGTAATACGACTTTTGTTTGGACATTTCAAATACAACACTATTAGCTTTTAGTTAATTGCTATAATAGAAAAAATATAATATATTTTATATATAATATAGTATGATATTATATAATATAATATTATATAATATAATATTATATTATATTATGAGGACAAACATTGACATGGTGATATCAGTTGAACGTTTTTAGACGATGGAAGTGTTGGAATAGTAAAGTCCAAGTATTTTCTATTATCTAGAAGGTCAATAAAATTCCATGATAGTGCGGAACAATTACATAAAAACAAACCAATGATGGTAGCTGGTTTACTTGTGTAACACACGCCAGAATTGTATCCCAAATTAAACACTTTAACTTCCATTGCAATGAGGCGCCTCACGTTGACTTGAAGGAGAAGAGAATTTTGAGAAATAAGTTTATAAGTGTGTCCTTTTCTTCTATCATTCAATTTCTTTGTATGAATTTTGTATTTAAATAAAACTCATTTGATGTTTAAACGAGTAAACATGATGTATTCAATGTGTTTTATTTTAACTATTTAGTATAGTTTCAAATAGTAATAATACAAAACTTAAGAAGAAGATTAACAAACATTAACAAAGCGATTGGCTGTCTCCAATTGTTGTAAATAACAATTCGAGAAGAAATGACAGCGACGTTGTTGGTTAGATATTTCACAATCGAGTCGTTATCAGTGAACACATACCGAGGAAAACCAAATCCTTTCTCGACGAAATGGAATTGTTTTGTGAATTTGGTTCTTGGTGATCTTATTGAGTTGTTACTTGTGTCGCATTCATTTTTAAGAATGTTAAAACCTTCTTCGAGAGTGGAAGTGATTGGATACAATCGGGAAACTGTCATTATTGAATTTAACATTGAGATTTTCAAGTCCTTTTTATATAGTCTTCTCAACTTACATAAATCGGTTTGTTATACTTCTCTTTGGGTCAACAGTAGTTTAATTTTGACTTTGTCTTTGTTTTTGGAATTAATTCACTTTGATTTGTTTTGTATTATAATTTATTGGTAAATTTACTATATGTTTATTTTTTGGTTGGATTTCTTTTTTCTGTATTATAAGAGTATAATTAAAATAACCATTTTTATTATCTGATTCATTTTAACTTCATCAAAACGTAACTAGAAAAATAACAAGGAAAGTGGTAGATTATTACTATAATTAATTAATAATAAATTATAAATTTATTAATATAACAATAAAGACAAAGTCGAGGTTATTGAAAAGAGTAAGACCATGTCAAACGAGAGCGATAAATCATTTTTAAATAACAGCCATTTTGTTGTCTAATTTATTGATTTCTTTTGAACTATTAGAAATTAAGTATTTAAAAAAACACAGTTTAACATTTAAGATAATTAATAAGGAGGTTGAAATATTAAAAAATTGTTTGTTTAAAAAAACACAATAAAGGGGTTGAAGTTTAAAAACATTGTTTGTTTTACATCATTGTTTACCCCTGAACTTTCTAAAAAGTTTTTTTGGTCATTAAAACTTATATATTATAGGAAATTAATCAAAACACTTAAAAATCATTGTTTCACATTTTTTAATCAATCTTCAACATTTTAACTCACTTTTAAATAAATTTTGTGTATATTAACAACGTTTTTAGATAATAATAATAATCACAGACTTTTGTGATTACTATCAAACAACTATAATAATACTAATAGTAATAGTAATCACTCTAAACTTCATTTAAATAACTATTTAATAAAAATTAAATTCATTTTATCAATTTTTAAGTAACATGATTGACTTGGTTATCACTCCTATTATTCTCTTTATAGTATTTGTAACTCTTTTAGCCTTTTTCCCTATACTTACACTGTGTCCAAAGAAGGTATTACCTCCTCCACAAATTGTAACATCCCCACAACCTGTTTCAGTATCACCCAGTACACCCCAAATTGTCCCTTCAACTGTCGTTGAAGAAGTTCAGATAAACATACCACATGAATCACATCTCCCGATATCTATTGGAATTGACTGGGGGTATGACACAATAGTCGTTTCGACCAAAACGCAATATTACTTTGAGCCTTTAAAACTCCCCAATTACCCCGAAGAGTTGCCGAATGTCATTACCATTGACAAGGGAGAGGTCTTTCCATTTTTAAAAGTTTTGGTTTGTTCGACCTCCTCTTGATATAAGAAGAATAACACACAGGGGCACAACGATAGTAAAATGTATCAACACATCTACTGTGGGTGTGAGAATGAATCATATGACTTTGACAATCGCATGTATGGCCCTTTAACATGCCAAACAGTCGTTTCCATCATGTTGAATTTCATTAAAGAACACACTAAATGCCAAGTCGCTGCTATAGCCGTCCGGCCGTATCCAGAAAATGTCGCCTTTGCTCAATTACTCATCCGGGCAGGAAATGATGTTGGCATTCGAGTTGTAATAGTCCCAATGTATGTCGGGCCACTCACTGAAATCCTTTTCACTCAAAACAACACCACAGAAAGATACATTGGGATATTAGACGTGGGTATTCACACTACGGACTTCTGCGTCTTCTCAAATTGTAATAATGAGACAAAGATACTTGCAATAGAGTCAACTTCTATAGGAAATGCTCACCTGACATCTCTTATTAAAAGCTTAATTCAACAAAAAGTGGCTGAGTGTGATAAAAATGGAAATTTTGATATTACTGATGACTTTGTTCTAAAAGTGAAGAAGGGCTTCTGTCAAGAGGTAACGACGTATAAAAGTACTTTTGAGACACTTGATGAATCGTACGAAGTCGAAATCAGTTACGAAGAGTATTTCAATGCAATTTCAAATGAAGTGAAGGCATTGTGTGGGTTCATACAAACGACTTTGAATACCAATTTGGGGAATAGACCACTCGACTACTGTGAAATGGTTGGATCGGGGTGGAGGCCATTTCCTGTATTAAACGAGCTAAAGAAGTGTATACCCGTGCAAACGCACTTGAACTCAAACAACACTAATGCGATAGGCAGTGTTTTATATGCCACACTCTTACTTGATCCTGAGTGGAGACATATTGAAATACTAAAGAACAACAAGGAAGGGATGATTGGGGGAAATGCTTTTGTCGTCGAATCTCGACAAACAGCCAATGCCTTTGAGAGTCTTGTCATTAAAAAGGGAGGGTTTCTCTTCAATAATTCTGTTGATTTAACTATAAAGGACTTAAATTACCCCCCTGAAGTGTTTGAAGGAGACTTAAAAGGGTTTCAAGCGTTCAATGACCAATACGAAAAAAACTCAAAGAAGTACAGCGAGTTCTTGTGGGGCAAAGCAAAGCTGAATCTGAACACCAAGAAAAACGTTCTTGGAAATGACTACGAGCTTTATAAAGACGAACTTGAGAATATCGAATTTGGCGACATTGAAAAACTCAAACACTTTGAGACACGCCTGAGCACTTGTATTGAAGAGAAGAAGAACATAAAACCCTAATTCACTTAAAATTTGTAGCACTCAATTTCACTGTTTCGTGGCTTCTGAATAGCACAGAGGTTGTTGTTCCAGCAATTGTCGTCGCACTGATACATATGTGAGTCCGCTCTCATATGCTCGAACCACGTGTCATGAACACTTCTGTCTTTCTTCATCTTCTCAGCAAGGAGGATCATACTCTCCGCAGAGGTGTCTTCCAAGTCATACTCTTCAGCAGCGTTATAATTGAACTTCCACTCGACGTCTGTCTGATTCAAGTCGACGTAGTAATTGACCCAATTTTTGATCTTTCTGCCTTCGACTTGGTATTTTCTGACGGAGGGGTTGATGCCAAGATAGGTGTCGAGGGATGGGGACAAATAGCCGATGACGGTTTTGTCCTTGTTTTTGTTCTGCATGACTCGATATGTGTCTAAGTGTAAATGGCCGCATATCATTCCAATGGTGATGTCGGAGTACTCTGCGATCAAATCGATGATTCTGTCGTCGTATTGGTCATACATTTGTTGACTCCAGTTGTACCTCTCGGACACTCCTGGGCAGATATGTGCGGCCAACAAAACAGTCTTATTTTGTTCTCTGTAGTCATTCATAGTTTTCTCAAACCATTCAAACTGTCCAGTTGGGTCTGTGTCTTGAGCAGTGTATGAATTGAATGTGTAGTATAACACTGTGTTCAACACGACGACGTACACCTCTTCATCTAAATTGCCGAGTTGCTTTGTGTAATACCCTCCCTTTTTAAATGTAGTCTTTGCACTGTCAGGTAACCACTTTGCATACGCCTGCGCTCCATATGTGAATAACTCAGTTGTGTCTGCCGATTGGCAATTCTCTGGGATCGCGTCGTCTTATTGTTACATTGCTCTTTATTATCATATAAAACAAACGATTTCCTAACATCGGGACGATCGCCCAATTGCCAAATTTGTTCAGAAAGGCTGTCGCTTGGTCGAGCCCGTGCTTTAAATAGTCCATGTCATATTCCCCAAGCTTTCTTGGTAAGATGTCCCCACCGTAGATCAAAACCTTTTCTCGAGACATTAACTGGACAAACCGCGGAAGTGGCGCTAACACTTTATCCGTCGTGTCGCAAGAGTAATCGCCTATCGGACGAGCATTCCCAGTACCTTCACGACAAACAGTCGACGGGTCTGACCCCGCTTTGTAATTCTCGTCGTAGTGGATGTCTGTGATCTGCCAGAATTCATAGGAGAGAGTAAAAGAAAACAAGAGAAAGAGAAGTGTCATGATTTAGTCGATTCGAAGGAGCTTTTTATTTGCGAGACACTAAAAAGAACATTCTTCAACAAGAAGATGTTTTTTGAATATATTGATGCATTCAATCAGAAAGTGATGACTGAATAAGTTAATTGAAATCAGAAGAGTGTTTGCAATTAATAATACTATTGTTAATGGTTGTATTATAGTATTTTTTTAATTTACTTGTGGAAAATGTAGTAACATTCATTTTAATGAAAAAAAGCTAAATAAGTCAACTTCTTATTT